CATTTACATAATGGAGTACTACATCTTGAAATCTGAATGCAAATTAATGGAACTAGAAGAAACCATTCTGCATGAGTTAACCCAAATCTAGAAAGGTGAGCATGGTATGTACCCTCTCATAGGTAAATACTAGTTGTAAAACAAAGGAAAAGGAGCTTATAGTCCATGACCCCAGAGACGCTAAGTAACAAGGAGAACCCTAAGAGAAGCATACATAGATCCTCCTGTGAAGTGGAAATAGATAAGATCTCCTGAGAAAAGTGAGAATATGGGGTTAGGGGGCGAAGGGAAGGTGGAAGGGGAAGAGGAGAAAAGAAGGGGATGGGGAGGAGAACTTGATGGTTGAGATGTGGGAAGGACAGAGATAGAGAATGAGGAAAGAGATAACTTCCTTGAGGGAACCATTATGGGGCTAGCAAGAAACCTGGCACTAGAAAAATGCCCAGGAATCCACAAGGATGACTTCAGCTAAGACCCTAAGCAGTACTGGAGAGGGTACCTGAAATGGCCTTGCCCTGTAGTCAGATTGAGGACTGTTTTAAATGTTACCATAGAATCTTCATCCAGCAACTGATGGAAGCAGATGCAGAGATTCACAGTGAAGCATTGGACTGAGCTCCCAAACTCCAGCTGAAGAAAGGGAATAATGAGAATACAAGCAAAGAGGTCAAGACCATGATGGTAACACCCACTGAAACAGCCTACCTGAGCTAATAAAAGTCTACCAACTCTGGCCTGACTGCAAGGGAATCAGCATAGGACTAAACTAGGCTCTCTGAATGTGGATGAAAGTTGTATGGCTGTGGCAGACTGCAGGGCCACTGGCAGTGAGAACAGGATTTATTCCTACTGCTTGTTCTGGCTTTTTGGAACCCATTCTCCCAGGAGGGATACCTTGCTCAGCCTAGATATAGTGGTGAGGGCATTGGTCCTGCCTGAAAGAAATGTTCTAGACTTTGTTGACCCCTCATGGGAAGTCTTAACCTCTCTGAGAAGTGGATGGGGGGTTGGTATGGGGACTGGGGGAGGGGTGAAGGTGGAAAAGCTGAAGGAGGGGAGGGAGTTGGAACTGGATTTGTCATGTAAAATGAGAAAAAATAGTATTTTCTTTTAAATAAATTTAAAAAGAAACCCATCACAGGTCTCTAATAACATGGCAACACCATCCCTACCAGCCAGTCACTAGGAACTATCACAGGTCTCTGGTAACACGGCATCACCTTCCTGATTGCCTCTTCCCTTTTCTTGGAAAACCTCCTCTGCCTTAGATCAACAGAGGCAACACTGAAATTGAACATGAAGTAGCCTCCTGAAAATGCATTTTTCTCTGCTTTCCCCCAGGCTGTTCACATCCACCCCAGTGCTGATTGTCCCTCCAGTGTATTTTTAGGATAAAGAGAGCTGTTGACTTCCCGTTGTTTGGACACGCAGAGTCTAATTTCTTCTGTTTTCAGATTCTGTTTTTCAGCGGTGGTGGGAACCTCTTTAGACATCCTCTGAGATGAGAAGCGATACACCCACAACAAAGGCCTCTGTGTAGATGGAGCAACTTACAGCTGTTTTCTGCTTCATCTCTACGTGCTCCATCCCTGTCCCGATGCTATAGGCCTTACAGATACTATAGATTTCCTTATTGGATTGCCTGTTTTGAAAACCTGATGAAGCTCATGTCTCTCTCACCTGAAAAAAAAAAATCACATGCCTTTTTTTTTTTTAACATAACTTCAGGATTTCCCAACTATTTGAAGCTCATGCTCTGGAGTATGGAGCGAATGAGGAAAATAATCACTAATATGCTTATATTCCTGACTGTGCCAGCATAATTATATATAATATGTATTATATATCTTCTTAAATAATTGTAGTTCCTAGTCTACCTTTATTTTTTTTTTCAAACAAGGCACAGAAGTCAAAGATAATGCTCCATTCAACTTCATACCTGGATAAAGGCAGAGGGAAAACTGACTCCAGCCAGACTGGCCCCAAGTGATGCTTCTGTGAGGTTAGACCTCCTAAGGGGAGGTGCCGAGGAAGGCACAGGTGAGGTAACACATAGCAAGCTTCCCAAACTTTCCTGTTGTTCTTGCTCTCCCCGATTTATTTTATCTTCTTTTCTAAGGTCTACATTGTAAATAAAGACCTAAAATTATCTTGTCCATGTATTTTGAGGAAGAGAACTGAAAGTTTGCAAACACTAAGCTTTGTTGGCCTTCTGAGTTTCCTGCTTAAGCAGGCGTCTGCCTCTGTTGCTGTCACAAATGGTCTTTGAGAGAAGGCTTCAAATCTACCTACTGCAAAAGGGTAAGTACTCTCAGTTTTGATTGGACCTGTACAGTCAGAGTTTAGGGTAATGTTCATGGTACGGGAAAACCAAACTGTAAATAATGAGAGGTTTTTGCAATGCCCAGAAGTAGTGACAGTAGTCCCTAGGATGTTCACAGCCCAGAAGGATCATCATCAGCACTCACACAGTCCTGTGAGCTCTGGTCAACCATGGACTTGTCTCAGCCTGGAGAACTGAGTCAGAGTCTTTGGACTTTGACATTGATGGCTTTGATATTTTTCCAGCAATAAGCAGAAACTTTATGACTAACAGCTTGTCTCAGTTCTAAACAAATAGACATAAAAACAGGGTCTATAGCAAATTAAAAAGTTATTTAACACCTTGTTAAACCCTGGAATTAGGAATGGTCACCCCTCAGATGCTTTCCCAGGGGAGCCAGTGCTCAGGTGAGCACTGCTTTACAAGTTTTGAGAAAATTCTTTACTACGGCTCATAGCAATAAAACTTCAGTAAGTGAGGTTTATTTAGAAATAAACATTGACACAGGACTTAGTGTTTGCCAGGCTTGGTGTAAAGCTCACGAAAAAGACAGTAAATAGAAAGATTTCTAAAAACTCCCTTACGAAGTTTATGTGCTTGTAAAAATACATGCAACTTTCACGTTAATAGCCAACAGGCGTCTGTGCAGGAGGGTGCTTCTGTGTGGCTTGTGTGCAGGCGTGAGCTTCTGTGTTGTGAAGTGTTTCATTGTGGCTTGTGTGTAGGCGTGAGCTTCTGTGTTGTGAAGTGTTTCATTGTGGCTTGTGTGCAGGCGTGGGCTTCTGTGTTGTGAAGTGTTTCGTTGTGGCTTGTGTGCAGGAGTGGGCTTCTGTGTTGTGAAGTGTTTCGTTGTGGCTTGTGTGCAGGAGTGGGCTTCTGTGTTGTGAAGTGTTTCGTTGTGGCTTGTGTGCAGGCGTGGGCTTCTGTGTTGTGAAGTGTTTCGTTGTGGCTTGTGTGCAGGCGTGGGCTTCTGTGTTGTGAAGTGTTTCATTGTGGCTTGTGTGCAGGCGTGAGCTTCTGTGTTGTGAAGTGTTTCGTTGTGGCTTGTGTGCAGGAGTGGGCTTCTGTGTTGTGAAGTGTTTCGTTGTGGCTTGTGTGCAGGAGTGGGCTTCTGTGTTGTGAAGTGTTTCATTGTGGCTTGTGTGCAGGCGTGAGCTTCTGTGTTGTGAAGTGTTTCGTTGTGGCTTGTGTGCAGGAGTGGGCTTCTGTGTTGTGAAGTGTGTTTCACCGTTTTGATTAGCTAGGCCCTGTGGGATCTTTGATCCCCACCACTTCTGAACACAGGCAAGGTTAAGACCTATTAGCAACTGGCGTTCGTGCATATCCTTCCCGTATACAGGCGTCTTCACGGCACTGTTGACTTCAGCCCTTAAAACCATCTGCACACTGCCTTTTATTACCCTTACTTTATAGACAAGGAAATGGGCAAAGAGGTGGAGTCCTGGGCTAAGGTCAAAGAGTTAATACCTCACTTATGGGAGCCTTGACCCAGGTATCTTGATTCCATGATTCAGGATTACTTTGCTCCTCACAGTTGGGTTTGGAATTGGGGCCAGGACAGGAAGCACTCTTCCTGGGCAGCTGGCAGTAAAGAAGGTCTTCAGGAATAACCTGTCTGCAGGTTTGGGCTTTGCCTAGAGCAGGAAGCAAGGTTGGTAGAAATCCTAACCCCACACAGTTTGTCTATCAGGTTATGCAACTTCCTCAAGCTCCCGGGTTTAAAACAGAAGAGCTCCAGCCACAGGGAGACCAAGTGCAGCGCCAGCCGTGGCTTAGGGGGTTCCACATCTTGCATGTTTTGTTTAATCATCCCAACAGCCAGACAGCACTATTCTGTAGAACAGGACATAGACAAGAAACTGAGTTCGAAGAGAGCCCAAATACATACAGACGTGTGGTTAGAGAGCAGAAGTTTCTGGACTTGAAAGGAGGCCCCCCTGACGCCATTCTGTCCCCTCCCATTTGTATTGCAGTTTCTTGAGGGGGCCTGAGCAGTGGTGATGAACAGGGGCATATTAAATAAGCCAATTGTAAATTAACATACAAATATTATATGAAAAAACAATGTTTTCAAAAATAAAACCAAGTTTAGTGAATACAGTGACAATTTTTCTAATGCCTGGATGAATCTCATATCTGTTCCTCCATCTGTTGCAACATCCCATATCAGTGGCCTCTGAGAAGCACCTCACAAACTCATGAGAAAAGGAGGGCAAAGTGGAAGATGACCTTTTAGTATAACAAGGAAATGATTGAGGGCTGGGAGTATAGTTCAGAGGGGTGGAGCAATTACCTTGGATTGTGCTAGGTGCTAGGTTTGCCCTCTAGCATTGTTAAAGGAAAAAAAAAATCATAGAAGAAAGGGGATTGGTGATTGCTTTTTCTCTTCCCTTCCTCCTTCCTTCCTTCCTTCCTTCCCTTCCTCCCCTCCTTTTTTCCTATTGGGTAGCTGTGTACTAGTCATAGTTGATGAATGAAGGTCAGAGGACAATTTGAAGTTGGTTCTCTCTCTCTCCATCAGGTAGGTTCCTGGGATCAGATTCAGATCATCAGGTTTAGAAGCAAGCATCTCTATCCACTGAGTTATATTGTCAGCCTAGTGTTATTTTTTAAAGACTCACTCAGAGTCCTTCAAAATGTCATGAACAACCATAATTGCTTAGATCATACAGAGACTCCTGAACTATAGCCACTTCCTGTGCACCAAGGTTAGTGAAATTACTGTATCTTTGATTAGAAACAATGTCACGGGTCAGCTAGTTCAGTCCTCCAGCCGATGAAACACAACCCTATTGAGCCCACTGTAATCTCCCCATTTGACAAGTACAGCAGCCATACTTGGTTTAATGGACAGAAAAAAAATTTTCTATGTTGAGTCAGTGCTCTTTTTCTGTAGGGACTACTGGTCTTAGCTCTGTATAGGGTGACTTTAGTGATCTTTCATGCTATTCCTAATATCTGAAAACCACTCCCTTGGGTGCTGGTATCTCTTCCAGCTAAAAAGCTTGAAGACCACTGTCCTCTGGTCCAAATTTTATTTCTTTTTATCAGGCTCTTCAAAAGTCAATTGAGCTCATATAAAATTCCAATATCATCAGAGATAGGTTTGATCAGGACTTATTCTATGCCTAGCTTTGGTTAATGTTTACAGATGCTTAACTTTAACTAATAGGAAGCTGCACACAGAGGTGCCCACTTATCTACAGGGAATATGTTCCTGGATCGCCAGTAGATATCTGAAACTATGGATATTACAAATCCTATGTATATAAATTTTCCTATGATAAACAATAGAGTAGGCACAGGAAGAGAGTGATAGCAATATAGGCCATTTCAATGTGTCGAGTAAAATAAGAATTCCGTGAACACAAGCTCGATGGTGCAGCAATAGTTCAGTTGGTAGCCAAGAACCCTACCTGGGTCGGTCACTTTTCTTCACAGTGACAAAACACCTAAATGAATCAACTTAAAGGAGGAAGGGAGTGTTTTGACTTTTAGTGGTATGATTTTGGTTGACAACTAGCTGGTTCCGTTGTTTCTGGCTGTGATGAGGCAGAATATCATGGTGAGGAGAATCTCAAAAAAAAAAAAAAAAAAAAAAAGAGGAGGCTAATCTAATGGTGGCAGGGTCCAGAGAGGACAGGGGGGAGGGATACAAACAGACAGACAGACAGACAGACAGAGACTACCTCTGATCAGAGAGGACTTACAGCCCATTTAATATGCGACTCATTTGTAGATCATCAACCCATTGATGAAGCTATTGGCCTCACAGTCTGGTCTTTCCGTACTGTTGCTCGCTGGGAGCAAGGCTTCAGAAAGGCCCTTTTGATGGGGACACTTCATCTGCAAACCATAGGAGGTGTTAGATGTCCACTCCGCGGCTACTGGGGAGCAGAGTGGCCCTGCAGGGAGATCCAGCTAGAGTGGAAATGCAGCAGGACAGCATGACATTTCATCAGGATGCTCAGTGCATAATTTGATATTTGAAAACTCCTTATTCTGGGATTTACCATTTTATCTTTTCAGACCATGTAATTGCTGGTAGCGGAAACTGCGGAATGAAAACTGAGAAGAAAGGGTCTACTGCATTATCACGAGCACCATTTTTTTTTCTTCTGGTGCTGGCAATCAAATCCTGGGCTTGGCACATACAATAGGTAACTGATCGATCACTGAACCACATTCTCACTCTTTCCTTGGGTTTATTAAGACAAACTTTTACTATACAGCTCAGGCTGGCCTGAAACTCATGATCCTCCTGCCTCAGCCTCCTGGGTGCTGGCATTACAGACGTACCACACCATGCCTACTCTATTATTAAATTTGGGGAACAAAGTACGGTGGCATATATCTGTGTCCTAGTATTTGGGGAGCTAAGGCAGGAGGATTGATGCCCAGCTTGAGGCTAGCCTGGCCTATATAGTGAGTTCAACGCCATTTTCCCCGCATGCGCACACACAGACAGAGATGGAGAGAAAGAGAGGGACTCTAGCGAACACAATAAATAAAAATAATACAAAATAAAAAGGTCTTTAATGTCTATGTGGCCTTGGACTTCCTGTCTCTCTTCCCATTTCTGGCTCTGCTTCTCCAGCAGGTCTTCTGTCTCTTCCCTTTTCCTCCTAGCAGACAGACGGGGCCACATGTGCAGTACTTTGAACTGTGCAGTCTTACAGACACGATCTCACAGACATTGCACACAGAATGCACCAATACAAAAAACATGGGGAGCACAGGAGCCACTTCTGTTAACTGGATTTTAGGGACTGGTCTTTTACATTTCATGCCTGGGATCTTGCAGCCTGTCTTGTTGGCTTCCCAGGGTTTTGCATCTCTCTATGCTAAGGCACTTTATATACTGATGCTAAAATCATCTTCCTTCCCTTCTGATCTGAGCATGCTACCATCTGGAGTCCATTTATAGTCTCCCATCACCCTCGGGGTGATGTATTTTCTCACAGCCTTAGAGAGTCCGCATCTGCTGAGACCTCTGTATTGTCTTCCTTCACTTAAGGCAGCAGTGTAGGCAAATATCAGTGTTTTCTGGAGGAGGGGTTAGCCCCAAAAGGGAACACTAGAGAAGGCTGTTAAGAGGAAGTGTGCTTTGGCATGTGTAAGGATGTGTGGATTTCCGTAAGCAGAGAGGAGAGAGCAGGACAGGGCTGGCCTGGATGGGGAGCTGCCTGGTGCTTACACTAATTCTTTCACTGTTCTCTTGTCATCCCAGGCATTTGGTCATGCAGGATATTTGTTCCTTTATTTATCTGTTGTTGCAAAAATGCCTACATACCGAAGAGGGCCTGATGACTCTGAATACTTAAAAAGTTTCTAGGGTGACAGTCACACGCAGTGTACAGAAAGGCACAGAGTGATTTTGTTTCAAGACTCTCAGTACAACGACTAGAAGATGAACTTATGTAGATGAACATCCTCACTCTCTTTGACTGGAGCCACGGATGCAAATAGGACATGGAAATGTTATCACCCCTTAGGGGAATATTTGCATGACGCATAATACATGATGCACTTCAAAAATAACAGTGCTGTACCACACAGGTTCGTCATGAGCAGTGTGAGGGCAGATCATTCTATTTGTGAATCTTGAAATAAAGTAAGCCTAACATTTTAGATCTGGAACATGCTTCGTTATTTTGCTACATTTCTCCCAATTGCATATTCATTCCCTAAAAAACACAAAAATAGCTTGAGTATCGAGTACACACATGGTTGTCTCTGGCATTCTCGGTAAGGCAGGCAGTCTGGGAAAGGAATTTGGTGTGAAGTAGTCTGTCTTCTGATCATCTACCCATTCGGCTTTGATCCTCAGAGAGGTCAGGCTCAGATTTGTCTATTTTGATCATTGCATGCTGGGATGCTGGCCTAGATGAGTAAAAAGAGAAATTATATAGGTTTGTTTCTGAAAACTGATAAAACAATATAAGATATTTCGGTGAGGCCAATTTCAAAATTGGCTATGTAAGAAGGATTGTACCACAAAGAAGACATTTCAAAGTCCTGGTAACTGTGATGTTAGAGGAGCCAGGAGCCTGACAGGCATTGTGCCCAATGACAAGCAGGTTGACAAGGGACAATGTGGGACACAAAGGAAGACACATGTATGCACGATGCTCTGGTATTTGTGGTAATTACACAGGACCATGTAATTAAATGAGGAAAAGCCAGGAGAATCACTATCCTGAGTTTCTTGCCACCAGGGATTCAAAGTCATCTGTGGTATGTTCTTTACAAACTGCCTGTCCCCACCACCCAGCTACCATGCCTTTGAACTCCGGCAAGCACAGCTCTCTAGTCCTTTTTCATAAGTCCCTCCATGCTGTCCTCTCATTGGCTGGGACACTCAGGTGTCCTTCTACCTAGCTAGTGTAACTGCTATATAAACTAAAGCTCACAAAACCAGTTTCCCCAATCTCTCTGACTTCTCTAAATACAGTGCCATTAAATTTTTGTTTGATTAGGCAACACACTTGCAACGTATGTATACAGATACATCTATATGCACAATTATACAGGAAAAATCTATCCTTTCTTTTTGGCCAATCCCAAGAATATTTTTCCTTTGGTGTAGGACTTGAACCTAGGACTTTGCACACACCAGATAAACTGGTGCACTGACTTGTGACCTTAGCTTTTGGCTTTTTTTTTTTTGAGACAGAGTGTTACTATTATCTCAGGCTGTCTTTGAGATTATAATCCTTCTTCCTAATCAGCTGGAATTACAGACATGTGCCGCCATACCAGGCAAAACATTTCTATAGTTTCTCTATACAAGTCCCTCCTTCAATGCAATGCCCTCATTTTAATCACACGCTATTTTGACCATGTGTTTGGTCATGTATAGGTATGAAATAAATACCTCTATATTTAGGGCTCAATACAATTTATTCTTTTACTTCATTGTTCAGTGGTTGATGGCACTCAGCTGGGTTTCTCATTTGGTTGCCCTCAAGTGCTGGACTAGCCTGGGCTGGACATTCTAAATGGCTTAAGGATAGTCTACAATTGATAATATTATTTCACGGAACTCAGCTGCTGGAACCCTCCCACGCAGGGGTTTTCTACATGCCGTGGGCTCCTCACAGCAAGGGAGTTGGCTTCTAAGTGGGCACATACTGAGAACCAGTGTTCTGAGATAGCAGGAAGCAGAAGCTGCCTGGCCAATAATGGCTCTTTACAGAACTTGTGAAATCATCTCTGAGAACGCAATGGGCCAAAGCATCCCCAAGCCTATTCAGATGGAGGGAGGTAGAGAAACAAACCCACGGGACAGTGTGAAGGTCCTACTACAAACCTGGGGCACCAGGAGACACGCATGGTCACCTTCACGAAATACAGCCTGCACCACCTTGTGGAGCGACTCTGCATCCTCTTTTTCTGTTGTTCCACTTAACACCTCAGCTGATTTTGTTCCATCCCCATAACAGTTCAGCCTTCATAATGGTACAGAGAGTTCACTGTCAGGGCCACCTTCCAGCGCTCCAATTTCTGTTGGCTATCAAAAACCTGTCTAATTTGTGACCGCACAACAGGCATTTCCACAAGTGTAGTGTTGATAATGTCATTTCCAAAGTAAAATCACCAGCTCTGTACCTCAGCCTTTAGAAAAAGTGATAAAATGCTGACCAATGGTCTTGTTTGAGTGTTGTTGGGTTTGTACACAGGACCTACAGCTTTTAAGGTTTCAATAGTACAAAATCAGACTTTACATTAAAAACCCTGATGAAGTCTCTATGTGAAAAACTGAGTTCTTATAGATGGAGGTATTTAATTATTCAATAAATGTGTTCTACTGCTAAACATACTAAACAAATGAAAGAAAACCTGCGGTTATAGGATGTGATTCTAGTTTCAGAGAGGCAGCAAGAGACTAAATCTGTATAAAGTGCAAAGTGGCTCTGTAGAATGTTGGATGGCAACAAGCTCTATGAAAGGCAGGGAAAGGGCTGTTTTATATCACGTAGTCACGAAAGGCCTCATTGAGACGGTGACATGGGAATGGAAGAAATGAAATGATCTGGGCTAGAGAAATGTGGATGTCCAGGATGGTACCATATTGGATAGCCAGTAGCCATATGCTGTTACCCAAATTTATGTAATTTAAATGAAATAAAATTTAAAATTTAGTTCTTTGGTCACACTTGCCACGTTTCAAGCGCTCCGTAACCACAGTTTCAAAGGACTGGGAACACAGATCCAGAATCCCTTTTGGTGCCCAGAGCATCAAGTGCTGTGGGATGGCATTGCAGGAGGATGATGTTTCCGGCAGAAGGGACAAGGCAGGGAGATCAGAGTATTTATAGATTCCTGCTCTTCCTGGTAGATCATGTGTGTGTGTGCAAATGCACACCTATGTAGGTGCACATTCATGTGTCTGCATGCATGTGGACGTCAGAGGACAACGATGGATGTCAGTCCTCAGATATCTTCCATTCTTAACTTTTAAAAAAAAATACAGTGTCTCTTACTTGCCCGGAGCTTCCTGCTTTAGACAATGCTGGCTGGCCAGAAATCCCCAGGGATCTACTTATCCACCTTTCCAGCCCTGGCATCAAAAGATGGTGACAGTACGCCTATGCCCTGCTTTTTATTTATTTATTTTAAAATATGGGTTCTTAGGCTCTAACTGGCACCTTCTGCTTGCAGGGCAACCACCTTAGCAATCAAGCTATCTTCTCCACCCCCACTTTAGTGCTGAAGATACCTGGCTTTTATTATTATTACTTCAATCTGTACCAACTTCTCAAAGGTCCTGATTGATGCTGTGCTTTAGAAAATGCCATGTTAGAGTCTATGGAATCTGTGCCGTACATCTCAGACTCCTAGGTCTTCCACCGAAAACTGTGTGAGCTGGGCATGTGTGGTGCATACCTGTAATCCCAGCACTTGGAAGATAGAGAAAGGAGGGCCAGGAGTTCCACAATATCCTTGCTACAGAGGGTGCTCCAGGCAGATAGAGAAAGGAGGGCCAGCAGTTCCACGTTATCCTCTGCTACAGAGGGTGCTCCAGGCCAGTCTGGGATTCATGAGACTCTGTCTCAGAACAAAACAAACAAACAAACCCAAATGCTAGAGGAACGAAAGCTGCATGAACACGTGTGAAGACTGAGAATGTCAGCTTGAACACAGAACATATGTGCTATCTTTTGTAGCAGAGGGAGTTCATATATAATTCAAATGTTAATTCTAGGGAATGATATAGCAGGAGCATTCACAGATCAGAGGGAATGTTAATTCGAAGTGTCCAGGAGGGCTTCTTTGAACCACGTGCCAACCCCCTTCAGTTGGCATACATATCATGGGAAGTTTGAAGTAAGTGAGATCTGAGAACTCAGGTAAAAACTAAGTGCTCACTGGAGCTTAAGTATTTTAACACAATAATCAAGAGAGTTTGATGTGCTATATAGATGTGGACTTTTATTCTTGGATAAATCTATATTATAGACATTTGGAAACCATAACAGACTATAAAGTTCTTTACTGAGTCCTTCCCAGTAAACGTATATGGGTCAAGGTGACAAAATTTAAGCCCTCTGTGGTAAGTCACCTACACAAATTCCATTTTCCCTTCTTCATTATGCAATTATCCTCCTCTAGCAGGGCAAATTCTCCATGTCCAATAGGCTCTATGTGACAACACCTAGGAGGTTTTTTAAAATCACAATTTCAAATCTCCGTGCTTGAGGAGCACTCACTCCCTTGCCCTTCTGGCTAGCACCTTCTCCACTCAGCCTCAAGTGCAGACTTCCTTCCTGCTCTGGTTCCTGTTGCTCCTCTCAGGAGTTTTCCGAATTCACATTCACCTCGCTGTATGGGCACTACCTGATTTTTCTCCAGGTACTTTTCTACACCTGGCTGAAGTTCCCTTTCCTTAAGACAGAGATTACTGATCTCCCCCTTTCCCCACCTGGCCACATGTCCATGTACACTTGGCCAAGCATCCACTGCATGGGAGGCACAATAGTAACCCCGACTTCATATCCTTACTTGTTATTTTAAAAACTTCAAACGTGAACAAGCTTTTTCAACTCTTGTCAGTCATAGACAAAAAGCAGGTCCCAGGGTCGTAGTGCTGAGGGGTAAAAGGGCTTGTTTGAAGATCCACTGCCCTTGGGGTTGAGCGCCTTCCTGGAATGGTTTTCCACTCAGCGCTCCACAGTTCCTATCTTCTGGAATCATATAAGCAGTGATTCACACCGCACTAAGCCTTTGCAGTTTACCAAGCACATTCATCACACGCAGAAGGCTTCCAGGTAGGTCAGGTTCCAACACGTTAACAGAGATTCACCTTCGGGCCACCAGACTTGCACTACTTTGCTAAACACCATCAAAACCAACAGGTTTTCTCCGCTCACCCTTTCACGAGGAGCGTGCCTAGGGAGACCACCAAGAGGGCAATGCTGTCCCAGGAAGCATTTTGCATAGTCTGGCATAAGGACTCCACTCTGGGGATAGGCTGTGCAAAAAGCGCGGGAGGGGGGAGGACCTCTTAACCTTTTGGATCTTAGTCCAGGGCAGTCCTGGCTGGGGGCAAAGGGACTTTTTAATCTCCGGAGGCAGGGGGCCGGGAGGAAGATTCTGGGAAAGACGCACCTGTGCAGGCGCTGTACCCAGGGCGCTCGGGGGCCTCTTCCGCAGGCGGTGGGAGTGTCCGGGCCGCCCAGAGGTGAGCTGCGGGGCGGGGCGGGGCGGGGAGCACCTGGGCGGGGCCGGGGCGGTGCGCGGGGCCGAGGCTCCGGGGCCGGGCGCGCGCCAATGGGCAGCGGTAGGCATCGCGTCCCGCGCCCGAGCCGCAGTCGCGCCCTCTTGCTGCCTGGCGAAGGCGCGGAGGCGAGCGCGGGGGAGAGCAGCCACCGGCGCCGCTGCCGCCGTCAGGGCATCAGGATGGCCGTGGGCTCTGTCAAGATGCAGCCACCGTGCGAGAGCCCGGCGCTGGCCTCAGCGGCCCCGGCCGATGGCCCCCTGCGCCGCAGCCCGAGCGCCCGGGAGCCCGAGCGCGAGCCGCCCGCCGCGTCTCTGCGGCCGCGCCTGCGAGACCTGCCTGCGCTGCTGCGGAGCGGGCTCACGCTGCGGAGGAAGCGGAACGCCGCCGGGGCCCGGGTGAGTGGCCCGGGAGCGCACGTGGAGCCGTCGGCCGCCCTGCGGGGCCGCGACGCCGCGCTCTGGAAGTTGGGGAGATGGCGGGACTCCACTGGAGAGGCCCCGGAAGAGCGAGGTTAGGGGGCGCCCTTCGGAGCAGCGCCGGTCACCCTTCTCCCCAGATGCACCTGACCGAACCTAGTGGCACCCGGGCATCACCGGAAGAAGGGTTGTTTGCTGCCTCTGAGGGGAAGCTGCAGGTGTCCCTTGACTGAGTCAATCAGCCCCGTCCATCAGCAAGTCTCAGGGCCCCCGCCGGTCCCGTTTGCAGGTGGCTGGTAACGTGCGTGCTTGTTTTGGAAGGCTCCTAGCAATGTCTGGGCTTTGGGACTACCCTGGCAGCCTCCACTGCCGAGGCGGAGACTTAGGAGTTGGAAGAGCTTGGGTGAGCTTCCAGCTCCCGGGTTCTGGCCCCGACAGCACTCAGTACTCCGGGACGCCCCCTGGAGTGGGAGAGTGTAGGACCCTCGGGAATCTCAAATGTCAACTTCCTGATGGTGTGTGCTGATAGGACTTCCTGGTGAAGGAGCATTCCTTGTCTTCTAAATCTCACGACCTGAGCGGGTCAGGCATGCTTTCTCTGTTAAAAGGAGGGACTGCTTGTCATCCTAGAGATCCTGAAGCCACTCAGGATGAACGAATAGGTCTTCAAGACACCAATAGACTCTCAGACTTTCCTACCTAGGTACTGCCTACTCATTAAAAAATTCTTGACCATTATGTAGCATTCACTGAGAAGTTGGAACAATGTAGATGTTTTTGACTAGAAGTCTTAGCTGTCCGCGTTGAAAGGAGATCATAGTTAGAGACTCGCGGCTTCTGTGACATTGGTTTGTTCCAGAAACTTGAGTGTTGTGGAAAAGGTGTGCGTTGTTGCGGCTTTCTGTGGATGTGGATGGGAAAGGATCCGAAATGACACAGGTCTGCTTCTCTAGGCTGTAGTCTCCCTTCCTAGGCATTTTCTTAAAGGGTTGTTCTTAGGATTCCTTCATGCAATTAGAAAATTTTTAAGTTTCAGAGTTGCCCACACAGTAATCTTGATTATGTGGCATATAGGATGTTTGTAAAGAAAGCCAGGAAGTATGGCCTCAAGATATGGTGGCTAAATAAACACAAGATCCAGAGTTAAAGACATTGCAGGAATCGAGGGGAAAGTAGGTCAAAATGTGTTCCTATTATCCTTGACAGTTGCTTTTGCATGACACAAAATACTGAAGCCACTAGGGCAGCTGGGTAATCTGTGACAGGAATTGCCCAGGTCTCTGCATAAATCTGACTTCAGTGTTCTACTCCCAACTCCAGTTTCTTGCTTCCTGGGATGATGATGTGTGCCTTGTTACTTTGTGCAACTGATCTTTGTTTTCCAGGCTACTCAGCATGCCAGCCCTTATTATTTCATTATACGAACTTTAACGACTCTAATTTGATTATGGCACATAGTATTAGTTCTTTGCAAGCTTAAATGAATGTCTCTCTTTAATTGGGAGAAGATTGTCAAGTTTTTCAGTGTTGCCAACTCACACTTTCCAACAATTTTACCCTTCTCCTGCTCTGGAGGAGACTGCTTTTAGTATCTTTCAGTTGCTGTGAAATACCACGACCAAAAGCAGCTCTGGTGAGAGCTGGTGAGCTCTCTGGTGAGCTCTTGTAGCTTCCCACCCATCAACAGGGAGGAACTCAACAGGAACTGAAGCAGAGCCCATGGAGTAGTGTTGCCTACTGGCTTGCACCATGGCTTGTTCAGCCTGCCCAGTGGTATCACTGCTAAGAGTGGTCAGGGTCTTCCCACATCAATCACTAAATTAAGACAATGCCCTACAGACTCGCCTTCAGGCTATCTGATGGGGACATGTTCTCAACTGGAAGTCCTCTTCCCAGCTGACTAGAGCTAGTGTCAAGTTGAAAACCACCGACTAGGACAGCTATTGTTGTGATTTTTGGAGCCATCACCAAAGGGAACGGAAGGAGTTTGAAAGAAGGAAAAACAGTGAAATCATGTGTTTCTGTGTGAGGCAGCTGAAGCCACTGTAAGAAAATGCCAGACTGGGTGACTTCAAGAGACGTTGATTTTTCTCACAGTTTTGAAAGCTGGCAAAACCAAGCTCAGTGTTCACGCTGATTTTGTTTCTGCACAGGATTTGCCTTGCAGGGGGCTATTTTCTTCTACCCGTTCCTGGGGCCTTTCTTTAGCAGGGTGAAAGAAAGGCTGATATATTATTTGGCCACTAAAGGGAGGACCCTGATAAAAGGTCACTAATCTTATCATGAGGGCCCTACCCTCACAACCAAACATGATCTAAATACTGCCAGTTTCCGTTGCATTTTCCCCAATTTCCATCACAACATGAAAATTGTATGGAAGACATAATAGGCTATAGTAGGGGGTTGAGAGGAAGAGACAAACAGTAAAATATATCCACGCTGGTTGGCAGGTGGTGGGCATCTGAGGTTAACTGGGTGGCCCCCTTGGTTAGGACACTGATGTTAATAATGTAACGACATCATGGCTCACAGTCTTTAGAGAACCGTGAGGCTATTCCTCCAGATTGGAGCTGAATGATCTCAGTTAATAAAGGTTCACTGGGAACAAAGCAGCTCTAAGCATTGCATAGTGGGTAAAGAGTTCGGATCACACTAAGATCTGATTTAGTAGTATGTGTTGTCCATGCTGTCTTAGACGTCCACAAATCTGGCAATCCAACACCATCTCAGCTCTCTGTGAACTGTGCTGCTCTGCCCAGGTATACTGCAGACTATCTCCGGGACAGATTAACCTGTCATTTGGTTAATACAGCACCACGCCTTGGTTCCTCGGTTCAGTCATTTCTAATAGTATTGGATTCACTGTGCATTGATGAAAGAGACTTTGCATGTCTTTTGGACCAAGTAGAACAAAAGCTCAGCTTTGCTTTTAGGGAAATCTATTGTCACCTTTTAAATATCAGTGGCAACACGTGGTGCTCTGGAGTCCCACACACTATCTCATCAAGCTTTTAAATAGAGTTGTGTAATAAACCCCAAAGTGCCAGCAATTAGTAACAGTTTTTACCAATCTTGTTTCATTTGTTTGTTCCTTCTGTGCATAAATGCGGTGTGTGTGTGTGTGTGTAAGGAGGTAAAATTTAAAGCAAACTTCTAAATTATCTTACAGAAGTTGCATCTTGCATCTCCGATAAGAACATTAAAGCCACCGTCACCCTCCTCTGAGCCAGCATGATGGCTTGTGCTTGTGACCAGAACACTCATCTGTCAGGACAGTTGCAAACTTTGGTTATAGAGTGAGCTCTGTACTTAAGTAGGAGCACAAAGAGTGTTCCTTCTTAAAACAAAATAAGGCAAACCAACAAGCAAAAACTCACAATTTAACGTTAACATTTCTTAGTATAACTGCTATGTTCATATTCTCCCGAAGATGCTTTCTTGTTATGGGTAGAATCAGGAATTAAATGGTACCACAAATTTATGTTTGTTTTTAGGCTTTTAAATCTATTTATTTTATAAAAGACCCCGCATTCTATCTTATTTTTCTTAATGGTATTGATTTGCAAGACAAATTGGATCCCTAGTCCAAGACTCTGCCCTACTTTCTGGGTTGATTCTCTGGGTGCCAGGTAACTTATTCTTCCATCCCTGTAACCTGGCAGTTCCATATGGAGGCTTGATTACACTGAAAAGCAAGTACCCATTTTGGGTAGTGCTGTCATTGAGGAGTGTCATGTTATTTCACGATGCCATAGTGTCAGGATGTCTCTCTGAGAAGTGAGGTTGACTAGTGGGGTCGATGGTGTTAGCTCACCTTTTTCCTACCATTCACCTAATGATTTCAGCCTCTTGTATGGAAGAAGCCATCTTCATTTGGGAATGCAATCATATGGACAATCCCAACCCACCCTTTCTCTTGCATTTATCAATTGGAACACTGCCCATAAAGAGCTTTCTGTCATGAATTATTTGGGTTTTCTGACATTCAGGCTACATAAGAAAGAAGAGGAAATCCCATTTTTCCATTTTTATCATTTTTCATAGTAATAATTTAATGTCCTAAAACCCTCCAAAAATAACCAGAGTTGTTCTTTTCTTAGGTATCATTAAGAATTAATGCATTTATTTTAGTCTGTTGTGGCAAATCCTCTTTTTTGCAGCGTGTCCTTGTCTCCTGCATGCTTTGCACATGGTTCTGGCCTATCAAGTCCATTTTCTTTTTCACACATGTAGCTAACCATCTGTCCAATGAACTTTTAAAAAATTAGTATTAAGAATGGTTCATTTCTTCTATGTTTTGTTTCTTTTATTATCTGGTCATAGCCTTCCCCCTAAATTTTTAAAATTCTTTGAAAATATTTTTAATCAGGCTATTTCCAAGATTGATGTAGAACAGGTATTGATAGTCTCTCCGTCTTTATGCTCTGTCAGATGCTGGAAGTTACATGGTTTGGTCTTTGCTATTTGAATATTTTATACTAGGTTCTGAGATGGTTTTCATTGTCTTAAGTGTTTTATTTACAGTAGGCAGCTATTGAGTTGTTCACAGTGGACAGCAATGTCCTCAAGTGATGTGCAACCTTTGACTTTGACAATGGAGTCTTCCCCACGGTCCTCTAGTGATGCCTTTGACTTTGACAATGGAGTCTTCCCCACAGTCCTCTAGTGATGCCTTTGACTTTGACAATGGAGTCTTCCCCACAGTCCTCTAGTGATGCCTTTGACTTTGACAATGGAGTCTTCCCCATGGTCCTCTAGTGATGCCTTTGACTTTGACAATGGAGTCTTCCCCACAGTCCTCTAGTGATGCCTTTGACTTTGACAATGGAGTCTTCCCCACAGTCCTCTAGTGATGCCTTTGACTTTGACAATGGAGTCTTCCCCATGGTCCTCTAGTGATGCCTTTGACTTTGACAATGGAGTCTTCCCCACAGTCCTCTAGTGATGCCTTTGACTTTGACAATGCAGTCTTCCCCACG